TTTTCTTCCCCTCAACAGTATATTCTTGAATTGTGTCGAAATGAAGACCTTGTGAAACCTGAGTTTATCATGCCTTACCTGGACAAGGTTAAATCGCCACACGCCACCCTGGTAGATGTGAGTGTTTATACACATAGATTAAGTTTTCATATTCAGCACACCTGTGTTTGACCCTTAATCTGCTTAGTCATGGCTTTATGAGGAACATAATTTTAAACATGTGTTGCAGATAGAAGCCTCAAAAGAGGAAGATGTTACAGTTACCTTTCTTGAGTTGATTCAGACTCTCCTCAAAGACCCTGAAGAGAGACAAGACTTTTTCACGGTGAGGCAGCATAATTTACAACCCGTTAAACCAAATGCACCCAATTGTGTTATTTGTAGTGACAGTAAACTTCATATGAAGCAGATTTCTGTTGTCATTATTGTTATCAAGTTACAATACACCATGTTCTTTATTGTTTACTGTAATTAAGAATGCATGCATGAATGAAAATGCCATAAAAGATAATAATGATGACAGAAACAAAATATCCAAAATGTATTGTTTTTAGGGGTTAAAATGTTAAAATAATATATTACACTGCTGCAATGCCTGGGTGTGGTTTTTATTTGGGTTCCAGTAACATTGTTTTTATCACAGGAAGTCTTTCCTGCAGAGTTTGGACCTCAGTATGACCGTGATCTGCAGACGCTGTTTTGGGAGTTCTACTGTCGACTGGCTCAACTGCTGCCTGTTCCTGACGTTGAGCAGGTGAGAGGTGTTGTACTGATAAATAAAGTGTGACACTTAACTCCTAAAACTGAGTAACAATAAAATTTGTTCAATAAATCACTATGATTTAGTGAGTCACTATATAGGATTATTGTACAAATACTGATGTGGTAATATAAAGGAAGTGTTATATGGAGGTTTCCCACAAAATTACCAAAAAAACACCCGATTAATTGTATGTTTACAGCTATTTGGTACAGCTCTTAAGTTTAATGCAGTTTAATACAGCATATATGAAGCTTCAGTAATTTGAGTCTTTGATGTCAGAAAGTTGGCAATTCTACTTTGTGTTTATTATTACAGTCATGGTGATAGTGATGTATTGAGGTTTTATAGAGATGTGACATTAACTTGTCTGCCATTTTGGACAATCATGGTGACAATGTAGGATCAAGTGAATAAGGCCCCAGTCACTCAGGCCTAAAGACCAGTCCACAATCATCTTGTAGCCACTGGTCATGAGGGAAAAATGAGTGTTCCTGATAGTGATGTGTCGGTTGCGAACGAAACGGCTCTTAGAGCCGACTCTTTGAAGTGAACGACGCGAGCCGGCAC